TCCTCTCGTTTAAATTATTTGAATTGTGTTGATAAATTGTGTGATTAATAATTTTTATGTGTGTCTAGTCTTCCTTCCCTTTCTCCCACAGCTCTAGGCAAGACTGAAAGAACATCTCAGTCCTTACAGAGTCTTTTATCGAATTGCCTCCCTTAAGAGAATCAAATTGCCCCCTTGTGGAGCGTAAGCCCCACGTTGAGAAACACTGTGTTAGATAATGATATGACACAATGTATTCTTAAAAAGGTTGAGAAATCTGAATTGTGTGAGGTAAATAATAACGTTATTTTTTTCATACATTAAAGCTGTTTTTAAATTATTCTTCCAGAAATGTGACAGTTATAAAACTGTCCATTTTGTATCTACTGTAGGGTTAAATAAAAAAAAACTATTGTAGGGTTAAATAAAAAAAAACTATTGTAGGGTTAAATAAAAAAACTATTGTAGGGTTTTTAAAAAAACTTAAATTTTTGAATGAAGGAAATAATTTGTAAGAAAGATTCTATTAAACATCAATTAATTAAATTTTAAGATACTTAGGTTTTTTTAAGATAGTTTTTTTCCTTACCTTATTTTATTGTAGGTATGAGTCTGATTTTTTAAATACAAAAAGCTTAGGCATTAAGATTTTCCCTTGAATTTTTAGCAAAAAAAAAAAAAAAATTTACAATTATTTTTTTTTTTTCAAAAAAACCTTTTGTTTACAAAATTCTTTTAAACTTCCCTTCTAAACACCAGTAAAGTACTATTTATTATGAGATAAGAAAAGTTACAAAATAAAATAAAATCTAAGTACCCATTGAATCATATCGTGACAATATCTTTCCTTTGGCCAAAATCTTCAAGAATCCAGTGGGGCTATTTTTAAATCTTCTATTCTAAAAAACCGAGAGTATTAGAAAGTGTTGGTGGTATATTATTCTCTAAAATGCAGCTGAAAAATTCTTAGATTTTGTTTAGTCTTGGGGTAAAGTGCATTGTAGTAAATTAAGCAAATAGAACGTGGGAATGTACATTATGAATGATTTTTTCAAGCAACCGAATTTCTTAATGCATGTTAGTTGAAGAAATTCTATAAATTTGAGTTAAATTATGACATATTCAAAATAAAAAGGTCAATAGAAAATGTTTTATTTTTTCTCACGGTTTTATGTAAGCAGCATATTAGAAATAATTGTACATAAATTTTTGAAAGAGACTTGTATATATTGTTACGAATTTTTTTGTAAATAATTTATTTCTGAAAGTGTAATACGTTTATGTTACTCTATGTTGTATTTATTTTATGTTAAAAATTGTAATATTCGCAAGCAATGGCGTCGCTTACATTAACTTGGAACATTGGGAACTTGGCGATAGAGCCGTGTTGGCATCATTTTTGGCGATATCGTGGCCCTATGGATTTTTCCCGAAATTAGCGGAGATATCCACTAATATCACGATCTATGAGGTAAGTGAATTTTTCTCGGAAGATCCGCGAGTCCTATAAATAGAGAGTCGCTCAACGAAACTGAGTTAGTATTGTTTTTGACTGATGATTAGTTATCTTGAGAAACCCATGTACCCGAAATTATATCCGTATATCCGTATATTAGTTATCTTGCCTTGACCGTAAAGAGTCGACTGGCGATAAACTCTGCTGTTGAATAGGATGAGCGGTGCTTGTGAACAATCTTTCACAAACTTGTATTTTAGGCAATGATAGTATTGTCTGAGTGCTGTTGAAGATGTGAAGACCTTCTGCGATTCATTCTGCGAATATTGCTGTTAAATCCGGTATTTCAAGGATTGTTTTTCAACAATAAATTTTCATCGATTCTGAAGAACTATCTTGTTCTTTTCGACTGATTTGCATAAAATCCTTGAACCCCGATCAACATAACAGTGTATTATATTTTTATAGAACATAACCACATTTGAAAGGAAGCATCAAAATTTCATCTACTTCTGCAGTTTAATATATCTAATTGAACAGTAAGTATAATGGTAATTTCTAATGTAATGCATCAGTGTAGAATTTAACTAAACATTAATAGAGTTAAGGATTCCATTAAATTTTTCTAAATTCTTTTAAACTTGTGTCCCCGAAATCGGTTTAAACGCTATAATAAATACAGGATGCAGGAGCTATTTTTATGAATCTATGACACAGTCAGTCGACCCGTTATGATAGTTGTCTGTAGAACACTTATTGTGATAGAAGTATTTCATAAATATATATTTCTATATATTTTTCCAACAAAATAATATGAAAATTATGGGAGAAGGCATCTTTTTACTTATGATTGCTTTCTCATTTTCCAAATACTTCCTCAACGCCAAATAAATTGAAGTATAAGAGGTTCATTCAGAATATAAAAACTCTTTAGCTGTAAAAAAACGAAAAACACAATATTATACTACATATTTGCCTTAAAATAAATTATTGAATTTTTGAATTTATCAAAAATTGTGTCAATTTATTTCTATATTAGCCTTAACCTCCCTCCCCTCACCTTTTGTGATGTTGTATGACTATGTATAGTTTTTTCGCTATTGTGTGTGTTAGCTTTCAGCTATCGACTGTATTGAAAAATATTGATATAGACCTCACCTCATGATTTAAAAATATAATTTGAAATGTCTATTGACCTTTTACGCCCTTAACCCCCTCCTCGGAGTCAATTTCTACAAAAAAAATTTAAGCATATCTCTACTTAACAAAAGAATAACGCTTGCCGAATTTCAAGTCTGCAGGTCAAAAATTCAAAATTAGGAATTTTTTTTTCTATAACACCACTGCAACCTCCTTTGAGAATCGATATCCCCAGAATCCGTCTTTAACCAATCTCCACTCAACAAACTAAACATGTTTGTCAAATGTCAAGCCTGCTGGTCTCATTGGTTAGGAGATTTCTTGATGAATGATAGATGAGTTACTTTCTCCTATATAGGTACGTATATACATAGAGAGAGAATTTTATAACTCTTTACACTTTATGTATATATCCATATTTATTTACACTTTTATGAACATAATTACACTGACCGATATATCATACTATTAATATCTACTAATTGGTTTTTTCTTTTTTTTTTTTGTCAAAGACAAAAATTTCTAACCTAATATATGGATTTCTACCCCAATTACCTTAATTTTATTCCAACAAACAATAATGCTAATAGTATAATTTAGAATAAAAAACTACATTTAAAAGATCTCTTAATATGTTCTAATATTTATGACAAGAATGATTATTTTAGCTTAAATAATATTAGAGTACGAAATTGGACTACCAAAGTATATGCATGAGGACATTTATCGTTTTGTAAATTCAATTGTACAAATCATTCTGGAAAGGCTCATTTTTTATTCCAAAAATATGGAAATGCTTGTCAATAATAATGCGCTTAATGTTTGGCGTCTAATTTAATATAATATTTTTGTTGTAAATTCGTATGTATAGAAATAGTTTAGCACTAAAATTATTTTGCATTCATTCTTATTCACTTCTCGTGTTCTGACTTTTATATTTGTAAGAAATACCTTTCAAAAAATGCCAGCTGGGTTGAATGATTGGTTTGTCCCTGGCCTTCTGCACACAAGTTTGCGAGTTCGACCCCTTCCCTAGTCGGTGGATTTTCAAGATGCAGAAAATCGACAGCGGCCATGTCGTTTGATTATACCCCTTGCAAAAGATCCCTAGAGTGTGTGTTTGGCTTGGGGGCTCTCCGTAAAATTAAATCCTAGTACAGGTTCGCATCATCAGAGCTCAGGTGTATCCATTTAGGAAAGAAACCGGGCGTTTTAAAACTACCTGCGGTGATTGGTATCCGCCTACAGGGTGCAGCACTGAAAAGAGATACCAGCTTCTGGGGGATGTACTAGGTCTGCAATGGTAAGGCACAAACCCGTAGCCCATTAGAAATTAAAAAAAACTTTTAAAAAGTAGTCCACACTAATTTAATACATCCTTTTCTTTGGCAAATTGAAATAAAATAACTCTTCATTCACTGAGCAAAAGCGAAATTTAACTTTTGCTTTTTCAAGGCTCAATTCTGAAAGAACGTTGCGAGAATTAATGAATTAACTATTCATTAATTAAAATATAACTAATTTATGCAATTCACACTCTAATGAAAATATCAAAAACACATCGTCGAAAACAACATTTGCATCTAGCTCCCCTCTAATTATTTTAAGGAAAAGACCTTGTAGAAAGAACTAATAGAAAACCCTTTCTCCTTGACTGTGTCTACAAATCCCAATAAACAAATGGGAAAGAACGGAAGCCGAGTTGCTTGAGAATAGTTTGATAAAACAAAAACCCCTTTCACGGGCAACAAGCATTCTTTGTTGACACTAAAACAACACCGCTCTTTGAATACGTTCTTATTTATAAGTTGTACGGATGCGAGATTAAATTTCCCTAAGCCTAGAACCACTTAATTGTTCAGGGAATTTAAATATTAGCCCGACTCTTAACAGACGACAGCTTCTGTCCCTCGAGAGTTCTGTTGTTTCAGATATAAAAGAGCTGTAAAGCAATAGAAGATAAAAAAAATTATCTTCAAAGAACGAAACGATGAATGCAAGATTATTAGTGCTACAAGTGAGCAAAAATGGTTATTTTCGACAGCGGTATTCTCTTATCAGATGTTCTAAACGATTAAATGACAGAAACTTTGATTGTTCACTTCCTAAAATTTTAAAGTTGTACATTCATTTCTACTTCTGGAGAATATTAACAAGCAAAAAAAAACAATGAAGAAGCATTGGAAAATGCTACGATCTTGATGGATATGACTATTTAGTAATTCTAGAATGATCGTTGCCAAATGTGTGAAACGTAAATTGACTCAAAGATATTAAATTAAATTTACGGCAGTTGCATTAAAAATTTGTTTATTTGTTTTATGCGGATCATATATAGGAATCGTCCACAGATGATGAATTGATGAAATTAATCATTATTTTTGATAAAAAAAAATACTTTAAATCAGTTTAAACGTCTTAATGCTGCCTTACCCAGTATAGTGGTTATGACACTCGGCTTGTAATCGAGTGGGCTCGGTATCGAATCCCGAATCCCGAATGAGGCATGGATGTATCTTCGGGAAAAGAAGTCGAACTTTCTTTTAAAATGGTCGAATTTATGGGAGTGATTGGTTTGTCGCTGGCTTTCTGCACCTAAGGTTGCGGGTGCGACCCCGGTCCAAGTCGGTGGATTTTCGTGATGCAGAAAATTGACAGCGGCCATGTCGTGTGATTATACGGCATGTAAAAGATTCCTAGAGTGTCTGTTTGGTTTGTGTGCTTTGGGCAAAATTAAATCGTAGCACAGGTTCGCATCGTCAGAGCTCAAATGACTCCCGCTGGGGAGGGAACTGGGCGCCAAAACTACCTGCTGCGATTGGTATACGTCTATAGGGTACCACATTAAAAAAAGATACCAGCTTCCGGGGAATGTACTAGATTTGCAATGTGGTAACAATCCGCAGCCCATTAGAAATTTTTTTTTTAAATTTCATACTGAGATTTTATGAAAGTGATAAAGAAAATTATCTGTGGAAAAAATTTGATATGAAGAATCATTTTTCCAAATACGAAAAAAAATATTTTTTATTAAAAATTTAAAGCCTGATTTCCTGATTTTTAAAATTATTATAATCTGAAAGTGTTTTTCGGACTCAAACCAACTTAAAAAGCCGTAGGTAGCTTAATTGAATCTAAATTCCACAGTTTGTTTTTCTTTTCATAAAATTAAAGTTTAAAATAATTCATAGCTCAGAAAAGAATTATTCGCTCGCAGATGAATGGATCCATTTATATATAAATATAATGTAATTTAATTCATGATAAATAATCATTTATTTCGGTAATTAAATATGTAGTATTCGGTTGTTTCTGGAATAAATACAAAATGTCCAGGATTTGAATTTCCAAATTCTACGAGACAGACTAAAAACTAAATAATTATTTCGATATACGCAAGCTACATTGAAAACTTTCACTTTTAGAAGTATAACACAAGAAGTATACTCTGCTCTTAAACTCTACACTAAGAACATGTTAAAAATTTCAACTTTCATCAAAAGTAAACTATTTTTGCGTAGTAATCAAAATCTACCTTCTGTTTATTGGGGGGGGGGATGAATTTAATCTTTATTCAGAAATATTATCTCTCTCTCTCTCTCTTTCCTAACAATTCTCTATCTCTATTCTGTATCTAAATAAATAGTTCTTCAAAATCAGCTTCAGTGCGACGAAGTGGCCGCGGTAGTCTAGTGGTCAAGGTATCGGATTGTGGCTGGCATGTCATGAGTTCGTGCCCAGTACCTCTAAGGCCCCGCCGTGTAGGGTAGCAATGCACGTTAAATCTGTCGAAAGCTCAAACGTCTTCCCGTTGGTGTGGTGTGGTGTGGTAGTTAGGAGAGGGGGTGCCAGCTCAGGTGTCGTCCTCTTCACTTGACCAAAGTTCAAAATTACGAGTTCCGTCGCCAAAAGCCCTCGTGTAGCTGAACAGTGCGACGTAAATATTCACTCAGTGGGACGAAAACATCTATGAAAATAAAGAGAAAAACGTATCAACCCCTTAACTGCCGATTAAAAGATATGCGATTCGCTTCCCAGTGTTACCGTTTTTCACATAGGCGCGCATGTGTGGTGTATTCGAGAGGGGGAAAAGGGCATAAATAAAGAAATTTTTCTCTGAAATAAGTAAATCCTACTCAAACACTGTCATTGTCCTTTTATTGCATTCCAACGTCTACGGGACAGTTTTACCAATGACAGCGTAATGAAAAGAATCGTATTTCAGAAAGACGTATATATACGTCCGGGGTATTTAGTGCAAACGGTTGAGTGAGATGTATACATACGTCGGTGGCAGTTAAGAGTGTTTTGTTCCTGATTCTTAATTCCATTAGTATTTAGATAATTATATATCAAATATATTTTTATATAATTAATGATTTAGTCCATTCTTTGAGACATTTTGTTTTATTGGACGGTTCCCATAGAAGACATATTTACAGCACAAAAAACATTACATAACTCTACAAGCTAAACAAAGTAATCTCTCAGATGACTTGCAGCGCCATCTATTCATTTAACATTTAATTTACAACAAAGGGGGGGGGGGGGGGGGGGGGGTGCATGCGTGTGTGTGTGCGTGCGTGTGTGTGTGTGTGTGTGTGTGTGTGTGTGTGTGTCATGCGCTCTCGCGACAATGATTCTTAATTCTGTGATCGGACTATTTGATATACTCGTGCATATGTGCATTTATTTCACATTAAATATATATTTGCAAGCATTCACCGTGGAAGCTAAAAAAACGCCACGACATTTTTTAAAAAAATTTTTACCGTATTTTCAATACCTAATAAGATGAAGATAAGCTTTGAATTAAATTTAAGCTTACTCCAAAAAGGGATAAAAAAATTTTTGAATAGTTTTCAAGCATAAGATATGTGTTTAGTTCTTCAGGTTTGCTTCAGTTTTTCGAATTTCAATGTTTATCTATGTTTTCGGGAGATAAGAAACGCACAGTGTCATTGAATTATTCAAGAGTTTGTTTTAGTGACAACTTTTTAAGAGATGTCTTCTTAAACTTTGAAGAGGTATTTTCCATTTTTTTCTCAACATAATAAACTGCAAGTGGGAGGAATTTTTACTTGAAATAATCAATTTCTTACAGAAGCTCAATTAGTTAAAGGGATAAAGATATACCATGAAGTGACACTAATCTTACAAAAATTTTGCACATAAAATTTCTTGTAATTTTTTGGTGTATGGGAATAAAATTCACATGTACTTTTTAGATTATAACTAATCCACAATCTGCACTATTTATGTAACATATATATTTTTTTTAAAAAATTAGAGAAAGAGCCAAATGAAATGAATCTTGAAAAAATCATGAGATGATCATTGAAATACAAATTGCATCCTGCTCCTCTCTCTATTCCCTCTTTTCTTAAAACTCTGTCAAAGATTGAAAAGGGAAAATTAGCAAGATATATAATAAAAATAAATAAAATAATCAATTTCTTCTGAACATATCACTTATTACATTTAAATAATCTTTTTCACATATGTGCATTTGTGTGTGATATGTGTTCTTATAAGAGCTGTAATATATTGTTTAAGCATGAAATCTAATGTCAATGCTGAGAGGCGAAAAATATTGCGCGTGTAACCGCTGTTGCACAATAACTCTTTGTCCTAAACAGTAGAAACGCCCTCTAGTGACCAGCCGACTTCAGTACAGACCAAGTGAGGAATGGAGGTGGTCGCTTTGAAAAATCGCCCATGTAGTTTATGTCCTTAATTTTTATAACGGTATTTTTCATTCGAATGCTCAACCAAAAGTAATAAATAATTGTTGCACAAAGAGTAAGACTTCATTCAAACCAACTTCAAATCTACCATATTATATTTAACTTTTAACATCCAACGAACTCCTTTATACGTGTTTTTAAGACATGTACAGTTAACAAAATATTTTCCCATAATAAACACATATGTAAATTATTCACCAAGCAGCATTGAAAACGTGTTTTACTTTAAAGAATAATTATTATTTCATCAAAGAATCAACAAGTTAAAATATATGTCGTTAAATCTTCTGCGACAAAATACCTGGACTTTTAAAAGAAAGGTTGCCGCGACCCTGCGGTCGTTGGTGAAGTTTGAGACACCGATTGATCAACCATTACTATAAAATCACAATTACTATCAGAAATATCATAAATCGAAGGAGCAGTCAAATTTAATCGCTATACTAAATTCCTAAGACAAATAATTATGTTACTTATCTGCTTGTGATCTGATGTAACTGCCCTATATAGGTCTAGCCCGGTATTGATGGATATCCCGGACTATAGTTTCTCTTCAAGAACTCCAAGGACTTCAGGCAGTAATTTTGTTAATCTAACTTTAATAGCAGCCTAACAGCTAACTCCTACACTCATTTTGCTAGAGTTTAAATAACCCTCAAATTTACTTAAATTATGGTTTATCCACGTGAAGAGCGAGCGATTTTGAAAACATGCTACAATTAAGAAATATTTTTCCCCCAGAGGGTTAATGAAAGGTTCGGGTAGGAACCGGCGCTAGGTTAAAAACATCAACATATATTACTACTTATTCCATTCATCGCATATTAATAGAATATTCAACTCTAATTATTTGAGCAATTAATTAATATAGTTACACTTGTATTAAACCTTCATAATATTGCAGTTCCAATTCTACTAAGGATCCTCTATGTGAGAGAATAAAATCTACCTCATTTGTTTAATATTATCTAGCTCATGTGATGTGATGAGGAAGTTTAAAAAATGTGTGATCGTATCAGATATCGACCTCGTCACTTGATAGGAACTCAAGTTTAAAAAGTTTGTTTTCCGTTGCCTCGTGTTCTCTAGTTCGAAGTCAATTCAAAATTTATTTATTTTAGCTTTCATAGATATTATCATTTGCCCTACATATATTTCATTTATTTGTTTATTCATTTCCACTTGGGGTTTCCATGAGAAACTATTCGTTAAAAATGATAAATTTGCGAAAGTTTTATCGATTGTTTTAAATAAAATTTTTCTCTCTGCGAATGGCAACAGAAAACATGCATTTACGATTTCAAAATTGAGTGATACAAAAAGTAATTTATAAAAAGAAAATATTTTCTTATTAATGTGAATAAATGCACTATATAAATCACAAACTTTAAATCATAAACTTATAGTGATAGCCAACAATTTCTACAAAGTAATTTTGTGCAACAAAATAACAAACTTTTATTTTAATTCAGAAGGAAAGAAATAACAAATTTCTACAAATCTTTCATGTAAGTTAACAAATTTTTGAGAGAAAAGCTTATTAAATAGCTTTAAAGATTTAAATGCCTAGGGTAAATGCGTGACAACTCTAGTTCAAAAGAATTACTTTAAATCTCTACTTTCTCTGCTTGCGTAGATGTAGCTTCAAATCTAAATCACATTTTCCTGTCACGTGTTTTAATTGCTGTTCTTTAATGATTGCGGGTAGAATGAAGCTAAACGCGGGCTTTATGAGGTAGAATTTTAAGTTGTTGTTTTTTT